TGATTTGATTTTCTTTTGTCGTTCTATGTATAATTTGTCCAAAAGAATAACTTCAGCATACAATTATATACAATTAGACAATTATGTCAAATAACGATAAAGCTTTAGTAAAATAGGTATGTTGTTTCTAATAAATTTGAGGTCATACGTTTGTTGTATGCCAGAATTACTAAATATGTATTTAGAATAGACACGCTTTGTGATAAAATCGACGGCCCCGCCGAATAAACATGTAAAGGAAAAACTGGTACTTTACGGGAGCGATTAAAAGCTAAAAACATAATACTCATTGGTTATTGGATATGAATACAAATATTATATTCAATATTAAAATATGAAAAACGAAAATATTGATAGTTTATTAGTAATTAGTAAAAACTCTTTTCCATTTTTATTCTAGTAAAAATACATTTGGCGGATGTTCGCTTGTAACTTGTTTACACTATTATTCTTGGGAAAAGTTATATTTACATTAAAATGTAAGAACTTTAAAAATGCATGCAGCTTTTTTTATTATGATTTTACAAATGCGTTTATTGAAAATTGCTGAATATTTCAAAATAAATAGTTTAAATTTACTTAGAACTAACGAGGTATCAATCAACTAAGCTTGAGTAGCTATTCACTGAAGCAGCAATAAAATAAAAAAATAATGTCGTATATGAGTGATTTATTTATTCGAGATGATGAGCGTTGTAAACATAAATTTTACTAAAAACGAGAATCAATTATGAATTCTCTTAATTACATGTAAAATACTACTAAACAAATAAAGATTTCTTAATAACAAAAAATAGAATAATCGCTAAGAGTATGCTAGATGTTAAAGGAGTATCTGTACTTTTTGATGTTGAAATTTTTCCTAAGTATTTCGTAACAAAATTATTCGTTCGCATTCCTATAGAGGTCAATCTGTAAGTATTCAATGAAACTTATAAATTAAAACAGGGAATTAATAGTTCTTCGAGTATGCCGACAGAACGGCTGCAATTACTGGATTGCATGAACATCTAGTGTGTAGGTTTGCTGTAATTTTGCAAGCAATAACATCTGACCAACAAACTTATGTCACTAAATGTAAACATTATGCATACGAAAAAATCGAAGAAGTACGTGGAGTTATACGATTGGTCGTCGTCGTCGACCGTCCGCCCTTAAGTTACTGTTAAACGGAGCTGATATAATTGCCAACAATGCAATAGTGCCGATTAGGAGTCTCTTAGAAAAAGCGTCAGAGACAAAGGCAACAAAAATTTTAGAGGTTTTGGGAACAGGTACAATTCGCGGAAAAAGAGCACGCAAGCTTCTAACGATATATTTTCAATATGCTTGTATTTTCGTCCGTCCCTCTCTTTAGTTCAAGAAGTTAGTTTTGAACTAAAGAGAGGGTCATGTAATAGCTGTAATAGCGAAGAAAATGTAGACATTCTTCCCTGAAACTCTAGATTTAATAATTTTTCCGAAAAACCAATTAGAGTTTTTAGATATGTCTTATCTACATCTTGATTCCGAATTGGAATCAGAAGAAAGAGATGCAGAAAATTAACTTAAATATGTCATGATGTAATGAGGTACTCAAAGTAAATTTTTATAGTATTTAATGATGATAGTTTAAGCGTAAGCTTATTTATTTTAATTCCCAATTTTGAGTTTCTATGAATACCTGCAAGTTGGTTTCTATAGGAATGTGAGCTTAATAATTTCTTAATAAAATACTTAGGAAACATTTCAACATCAGAATTACAGATACTCCTTTAACATCTCGCGTATATAAATTTATTGTTACTTTATTACGTACAATTACAATATAATATAATACAATACCTTTGTTTCATTTAAATTTCCTATAAAAATTAGAGCCGTGATTTTTTAATTTTTTTATGTAAACTATACGCTAAGAATTATGATTAGCATTAAAACTTGTCGTTACCGAAATAAAGAAAAATAAAAAAAATAGACCTTTTAGATTAGATTGGATTGGATTTACCGGTATTCGAAATACGTCGAAAATTCATAAATAATTAGTATTATAATTATCTGCGAGGATATTACAGTTTTCCTTGTGGTTTCAGAGATAAATTTATTTTTCATACCAGCATCGTACAAATTTTTTGGAAAAAAAAAATATTAGTTTTCATATCTGACTATATCGGGTACTATATTTGAGTATAGTAATAGACAACCGAAGCTATTGCTAGCATAGCAATAGCTACGTATCATTAATGGTGCAATTGAGTTTTTGCACCATCAGTGACACTTTTTCAGAAATCAAAATACTTTTGAAATTACGAGTAAATGCGTCTAATTTTATTGACTACTTTAAAATGGTAAACAAATACCTAATAAAATTTTTGGGTATTCATTTTCTAGTTTGGTAAAGATAGTTCTTTGCAAAAATGAGAATTCAAAAATATTCGGAACAAAATCGTACAAAAAGTTACCTACCGTAGTCGAATTCCAACATTCGACGAAACACTTTAAGTTAATTGTTTTAAATTGCCACGAACATTACAACGAATGTTCCAAAGTTTGTTTGCTAAAAACATGCAAGATAGTGTGCCAAATAATACTTGCAATATTAGTGCGAGATTGTTGATTTTATTTTCCGTACAATGTATTCATTGAAGTACCGAATAATTATAAAATTTGGAAAATAAATCTGAAAAAAATATATAACGTGTATTTTGAGCGGGAAAATCCCAAAAAGCAAAAAAGAAACCGTAAAAGCTTTTGTTACACGTTTATTCGGTGGGGCCGTCGAAATGCTATGAATCAATTGTTTAAGGACGTTAAATAAATTTTTTCTCACGGACATATTTTATTGCGCAGTTAGTAGTTTTGATGAGTTGGTCATATTTTGTTGTAAAAAATTTTGTGTTTTATATTTTGTTACAAGTAGTTAAATATTATAATTGCCTACGAGGCCGAACGGTTACTATGCTGGTTTGTCACGCAGAGGTCCCGGGTTCGATTCCGGGGCCGGGAGAAATATTTGTATGGCCTATATTTATTTGTCTCGTGAGTTTGGATGTAATTTGTAATTGTCTATGTTTGTGTGTCCATGGCACCCGTAACACACGGTTTCCCTAGTGCGGGGCTATGAGTGTGTGCGTTATTATCAATTATAAAATTAAATTAATATTAGTATTAATTTTGCACATAATAAGGACGAAAATGTGATGAATAATAATTATTTTTGATAATTGCAAATTGCACGCGTAAGCCTACTCAGACTATTACGAAAAAAGTGATTGTAAATGGAAATAATTTCATTAATGAAAAAAACTTATCAGTTCAATTATCTCTTGTCAAATATTGGACGATGCGTAGTTATGTGTATACGGATGGGAAAAACGGTAATTTCCCATTATTGACAATAGGTACCAAAGTCAAAACCAATGTATTAAAAATTAGAACAGAAATATTTATTTTTTAATGTACAAAGCAAGTTATTCAAGTTATTCTCAAGCGATTTCAAGTTCTTATTTGCATAGGGATGCAATACAGAACTTGACACGCGAGTTTATTATTAAAAATAACTGCAGTGATTGGTAATAATTTTCACCAAATTACATATCGCTACATATACATATTATTTCATAATACTGACATATAGAAGGACATCAACGTCTCGCCATAAGAGCCAGTGCACATGGCGTATTTTCCACGCTCGGACGATACGCGTTTCACGAACGCGTGTAAAACTTTTCCTTTTTTTATAATACCAAGTGACGTAACGAGCAAGTCCTGTGTTGTTGGTAAGCCACACGCCTATCTATAACAGTTGCAGTGCCATTCAGAGCTTCTAATCGCAAATGATCTTACGGGCACTGCCACCGTACACGTCACCCTGTGATGTAAGTTGACAAGTCCCATGTGCCTGTAATTTCACCAGTACCCTTACCCTTCGAAATCGGAACGCGGTAATGCTTACATTACTGTTTGTCTGAAATATGTAAGGTAGCAGTACATCACTAGACGAACTCTTTCACAAGGAGCTCTATTGCTATGTAAACATGCACAAAAGTCCGATTGTACCGCGTTTTACGCGCCTTCGAATGGAGTTTTACACGCGTATTAATCGATTCAACAACAACGTCTTTGTTACCAAACCTGTCGTCTCTATCGCTGTATGCATACGGCATATTTTACGCGCGCAGATTACGCGCGTTTCATGAACGCTCGTTTACGAGAATTTGTGAACGCGAGTGAATGACGTTTGAAATGCGACAACACGCGTCATCTGCCCGTAAATAATACGTCGTGTGCATAGGCTCAAAGGGTTTCTTTTTACCAATTAGGTGCGGCGCTCTAAAAATAGAGACAATCATTTGTCAGGACCAATTACAGGATAACCTTCGTAAAAAATATACCAGGGTTGCATGTCTGCGAGTCGCTATTTTTTAAAGAGTTTTATTTAACAATTTCGTGGTAATAATGATTGATATCTATAAATGTTGCAAATTTACTAATACAATTGTTTTTGAGAAATATGACATCAGACTTGTGGGCAGGTTAATTGCTCATGGTCGTTAGAGACATGTAGAAAAAACACATTTAAACTTGAGCTTAAATATGCTTCTTAACGTTGTTTTTAATGTTCACACTTTAATTAACCTTTAATTTTTTTGTTCCTATAAAAGCAGCTTTAGATAAACCTGATAATCGCTAGTATTAAGTTAAATACCAGTAATGAAAGTGCATAAATGAGCTGTTTGGTTGGGTTAGTTATACATATGTTACCGCGATTAATTAGGGAGCTGAAAATGGTTAGTAACAGTAAGGCATTGAATATTTTGTTGTTAGCCCGTATAAACATTCGCCCCATGGAGACGACGACGACGCGTTCCGTCTGTGTCGTTAGTCGGGGAGGAGCTCATTGTGTAGTAGTACATTCTTCAGGTAAGAGGTGTCTCGGCAGCCGAGCTGTTTCACGATAAGTGCTTACCACAATTTGTGGTCTTATTTCGTTTTAATAATCTCTATAAGCAATTACTTACCAGGAAGCGGTTATTGGATCTCCGTCAGCGCAAACACGGCATATATACAAGACGCAGGCCAATAGTTTGAAAAATAAATTTGCTATTCTAATGCGTAAACCTGAAACAAAAAAAAGCAATGCTTAACTTCCTAGACTTTTCCAACCGTTTTCTGGAATCTTATCGAAATCAATGTAGCCTGCATGAAATTAAGAGGTCTTATTATAATTGTCACCATGTAAACTATAATGTAAAATTATTGGTTACGTTATAGAAGTCAGGATACCACACAGATTTTTCTGTGAATATAATAGAACCAGTTTAATCTTCTAATAAAAAGACTGCATTCCAGAGCAGCTTTTATCAATACTCAATACTTTATCGCTTTAGTTGCATAGCGATAAAATTTAGTAGGTATATTTCTGTTTCACAATTTTCCTACTCTTTTTGTGTTTTAGTTTTTAATATAATATCTAGTGACTGGTTTACTAGTCATAACGCTATTTACCTATATTCTACGCCTTTTCAAGGCCCTGTATATTGCTTAAATTGAACTTCTAGTTATTGATAAAAATAGTAATTAACGATGTATTTCTCGGTACCTATGAAATCCTAATAGGGTGCAGTGGAGGACCAGCACATGAAAACATGAAGATGGTTGGTTTCTCGGATTGAGAAGGGTAAGAAGACGGTTCGGACGTCTGTTCACATCAATTTTTTGTTAGTAATCCGTTCTGATTTATTTTAGCATAATATTACGTTGAAATGTCTAGGATATCCACAAAGCGTAGAAGAGAGGAGATGCGTCAAAGTAAGTCCCTATTATTACAAAGCAGGAGACGTCAAAATAACGTATTCCGATCGGCTGTTCAAACGGTAGTTAGTGGACGAACGGATTCAATAAAGTTCTACACATCTAGGTATCAGAATTCACACGACTGTTTGTGACGTGATTGGGAAACTCATTACGTCCTGGAATATGTTGTCAACAACGGTGACATTCGCAAATAGTAGTGACATGAGAGCTAGTATTCCTCCGTGTCTTAATTAACGACCAATTACATCGTAAGCAGAGAAAAAAGAAATGAAAAAGTAAAATATAATAAATAATGTAAAGGAAAAAAAAAAGATAATAAGGATAACTAAAACAATATGCAAATTAAACAAACAAAATAATAAGTATGCGTGGGTGTGTGCGTTTATTATGTGTTACGAGTTTTTTGTAATGCAATCTATATGATTTTATTGCTATTGCAATTACTATTTGTAAGACTGTATATAAGGAATTAATCCTTGTAATTGATCCTCATCATAAAAATACAGATGTCTGTGTCGCATTTGATTGTTCGATTCTCAGATGAGGCGAGCAATACTGATCGTCACTAGTATCTTATCGGTGTACCGTCGAACATAACTTTTGAGCGTAAACTCGGTAGAGTCCAGCTACACTATTATCCGAGATCCCATCAGAAACAGAATGGATAGGTGAAAATCGTGAGGACGTTCACACCGAAAACTAGCAAACAAAGTTATGAATCATTGAGAGTGTTAGGTACTACACACATACATACATCTATAAATCCAGAAATATTGAACATTTCGTTGATATTTAGAGTTTTTTTTTAATCCAAACTGTTTATTGAAAGAATACTGATGTTGTAATCTATAAAAATATATGTATATTGTTTTATAATAAACTATTAAAGTGACGAAAACAAGAAAAACTATTCGAAACGAAACAGTATGTATACCTACTTAACTAAAATGGTAAAAAATAAAATAAATTAAAAGTAAGAAAATAAAAGAAAACGAGAATGGCATGAAATTCGTGTTTTTATTTTTTTTAGTTTTAATAAACGCATTGACCATCTAATGATTAATAAATAATACTTAGGGGTTTCGTTTAGTTTCATTGTTGGTTCGCTCAATTTCCGTGTCATGGATCCGGGAATCACCTCAAGCGGTAATTTAGCTGCAATACGCTTCGATAAGTCGTGACATATCTATGGTCGTGACGGGCTGTCCGCAACGTGTAGCGGCAAAACCTACTACGGTTAACTAGCTACACTGGACTAGTTTATGACTAGACTATTCGTGACGAGAATCCATGAAGAAGCACAAATATCTAGAATGTGTGTTGTTTGACTTCAGCTCACATTCAGACTTTACTCCGTGGGACAATATTTTTAGTAACGTACAGGAAAATACGCGCGTGAAAAAGGTGAACGTTAGTGTACATTATATTACTGGACATTCTTTAAACGTACTTTTTAGTGGCCCTAATGCGATGATATGGGATGGAATAATTTTTATGGGCAAATTAAACTGGTAATTCTGGCAGGAGCCCGTAACCATTGCCAGTTACACCAAGCGAGTGATCCGACCTCGTGTCACCCCATTTTAACAGCGAGAGGGCAATGATTTCGTTTTAATAGAAGACAATGCTCGCGTACATAATGGCCCAATCTATTTAGGAGGAAATTTCGTATGCAAATACCGTTGTTTTGGATTGCCCAGCGATAAGTCCTGAGCTCTGTCCAAGTGAGCATTAGTGGGATCTATTGATATGTCTCAAGGTGTATTGCAGTGGTGTGCTGCCTCCTGGGGAAAACAGATTCATGGAAAACACAACCAACCACATCGAAATTGAACAAAATAGGCTCAGGGAATGTATTGGCAAATCTTGGTCACCATTCGATAGAAAAAGCAGTAATAGCGGATGTTAACTCTACTGTTCCCTATTATTACAGTTGATAATTGAACAAAACAAAATGCATCATTAACCATGTTTATACAATTAACGAAACCTCGCTACTTACTGATGTAGCCTTAACAACTTCATAAATACATATTATATTAATTGAGAAGGTGTGCCCTATTTCGTTTTAATGGTAGGTAATATCACGAAATTTTAAAAAGAATCAATTTGATGTAATTAATTAGTTAAACTATGTAATCATTATGACGTTTATAATATATCTGCACCGGTTATTCATACCTCAAATTCGAAAATCTTGACGTAACTCTCGAAAATGCACTATCATGCAGCTGAAATTTTTGTCTCATTTGCATTTTGTGTTGACATATTCCAGAATCTTATCATGTAATCTCGTGGAGTACTTTTCATCAAATCATGAGAAATCTATATCAGTGCTCATCAGCATTGGTCGGAATAGATATATATGTCTACATAGTGGCTAAAACCCCCTAATAGTAAATTTTGAATTCCGGATTTAAGAAAAAATAGTTTTGCAGTCGTAAGAATAGGAAAACTGCTCACCTCGGTAGATAAAAGTAAAGTTATTATAGAGACGCCATGTAAAAAAATGCGATAGATTACTATCCTTTCACAACTATTCACGCATAAGATACAGTAAAGCTATTTACGGAAATCCAGAAGTCGAAAAACGTGATTATTTAGTATTTAGTGGTTTTAACTGCTCTATGTCATTCTTTGTATCTATATGTAGATATTTATCTACTCATTTGGAACACCCTATTACGATCACTGCTCATCAGTCAAGAACACTATTGATTATCTGTCGTAGTTAAAAAAGATCTTTTTCAGAGCCCAAACAAATCGCGTTTTGCAAACACGAAGCGGTCTGCGAGATCAATTTCTTGTAATTTTCTTCTGTTTCGACTCATCCGAAGAAAGAGTCCGATGTGATTATACGACGAAAAGGGGATAAATACTTAATCTCGTTATTCAAAATAAGGCCTAGTGCTAAGTGTTTTCAGAATTTTATGTATTATTTCGTTTCGGAAATATAAAATCGATCGACCCATGGTCGATCTGATATCCACGGCTAAGAACAGCGAACGAAATGTACAATGTCGTGAGAACAAGCAGTCTTGCACATAGGTCTTAGTTCTACGGATGAGACAATTTGCTCGCCTACTGGAGGTTCATGGTTGGCTTCGATGCTCCCGCCCTTTGTTATTTCTTCTCTACTTATTAAAAGCCGATTAGTTAAAATAAGAAAACGCAATACTTTAACAACAGACAAATTTGCCATAGAACTAGCGTTGCAAAACTTAAACGCAACTCCTCCTGTCTTTTGTTTATAGTATTTATTAAAATTTCATTTGCTATAATTTGAAACTGGAACGTAACTGGTGTCCGCGACTTCTTCTGCGTAGGAATAAGTATTTCGAGTAGTCAAGTAAGTAGTATAGTAGACTTACTGTACTACATACTTGAGAAATGATTGGTTCCCCATACAAACTTTCATCCTCTATTTCACCCCCTTTAAGATTTATTTTTGTGACAAAGAGTAACCTATATCTTTCTCTCCTAAGTGCCATCTATCTCTATACCAAAATTCATAAAATTTGGTTAGCAGTTTAGGCGTGAAAACGTAACAGAAAAAGTTACTTTCACATTTATAATATTAGTTGGGATTCTAAATATTCTTTAGGCATTATATTTTTATATTTGCCTCATTGCTCAAAAGTTTAGCTAATGCGGTGTGTCACGTCGAAAAATATAAAGTTATTACTTTCAAAACGCTTTACTGTAAAATCGTGAGTTTGTAGATAAACGGTCACACTTTCGTTTATGAGGTTCTCAATTGGACTGTATTTTTGTATGTATGTTACGCGATAACTCTGTTGGAAAGAGGGTGGCTCAGTAGTGGTCCAATTTAAATTTCAAGAAAGTTTTCCATCATTATGGGTGGCAAACTAGGAGATGAATCCGATTTTGCGCAGTTTCCGGTAACCGATTTCAATAAAACTTGGCAAATAGATGTAATTCCACGCACTTTTGAAGTCGGTTTTTTTACTACTCTGTACTGATGTTATTAAATGATAAATCGTTCCGGAATGAAATGTCTGCAAACGCTGTCAACGTGTATACATATATGTTATACATATATAAACAATGGCGTCAAATTTATAATGTCTGCATTTTTGTGAGTATCACACAATCACGAATTAACGATGTTGTTATAAGACCGAAGAACCGTTCAAGTATGAAATTTTATTTCGACATAAGTACTGGGTGCCAATTCGGCTAATTGTCTTGGAACCATTGGTCATTGCAATGCCATTGAGTCTCCACTGAAATTATACTGCAATTATCATAATATTTGTTACTCAGCTACATCGAGAATGTGTAATCGTTAAAAGAAAAGACCAATGATAAAAAAAGAGGAGCAAATATTAATTTAGTATGCTTAAACATAATAATAGTGTCACCTTGAATTAATTTATAATTTATCCGTAGATGAACTAATGATCCCCTTTAATATTAGCAGTCCTGGGACCCTGGTCTTAAACTTCAAATCTAGAGCCAACAATGGCAGTCAGGATATTTATTTATTTAGGTTTCAGAAGCATTGCCGCTATGATACCGTGAAGTACATTTATAATGATTTGCGATCTGTGACACAAAACAACTGGAAAGACGCGTTCTGATCTCGTCATCAGAATTAGCAGTAGAACATGCTGCGTTTTGTTTGGTACAACCCAAAGCCAAGATCGGAGGCCAAGTCAAACTTTAGGTCGTAGAGCCAGCGTAGTAAGTAAAGCCAACCAACGCGTCATTATTGCATTGTACGACTATTTCCAAGGATTTAGTTAATTAATTATTACTTAGTTGACGTACTGAACGAACTAACTAAAAATAACTAGAAGAACACGGAATGGTCACAGGAGAATTCGGATAAGATTGTCAAGACAGTAGGCGATCAAAGCCAGAGCTTAAATGCAGACCAGTACTACATCCACTTAAAGATATTGCTACTAAATAGACTATAAAATATACTTACTCGACCGTTGATTTTTTATAAAATATAGTTGCAGTCTTTCTTTAAAAGTGTTTTCGTTAACGTAGTATTCAACCCGTACTCTGTAACAAAAGAAAACATAGAGTATATTTTAAACAATTAATGAATAATATGGATTTAACTGTTCTGTAGTCAAAATTAACTGGTGATGATTCAGTCTACTAATGATTATCGATATTAGAGATAACTACATACTCTACAAATTAGTCGTTCTTGCTTGTCTATAACCAACAGACTGTTCAAGATCGATTTTACAATGAGTGAAGGGTTGATGTGGGAATAAGAAAATAATAGACATAAATAAATTTCTCAAAATCTAATAATTTTCATCATACAAAAACCATGACCAAAAAACAATTCTTACCTATTGTTACCAAAATTGTGATGCGAATAATAATCATTACTATAATCTGCGGTAGAATTCGAGATCTTAATTCTTAATCTTAATTTGAAAATGTAAAAAAGATGTTGCCATTACATAAAATATACAACACCAATTATAACAATCATGCAAATGTGTAATAGATCTAAAAAAAGTTAATGATTTTATATTGTGCTTAAATTGTTAAGAACACCATATTTAATAACGTACGCTTATAAAAACTGATTTTAAGATTTTTATATCCTAATGGAAAAGTTTCGGAGATTTACAAACTTTGGCACCCCATTTTTTAAATTGATTTTGAAGCCGTATGAATGACGTAACAAAGCGTTTTATTATTACAAATTGGTAAGTATACAAAAAAAAATTAAATATTACGCGTCTTAACACATACTACATTATTAAAAAACTCTCATTATTAATTAATGATAAAAATTCGATATGGATGAATAATATACGTAAGTTGATATTGAATGGTTTAATAAAGTTGTTTAACCCACGATAATTTTTTCTTAATTTACTCGTAATAATATCAAAAGCAGAACACGTCAATCGAATCTAAATAAAGTTTGTGATCCATGAGATGTCACTTTGACTGTGACTGTTGTTTGTTTATATTTTTGATCGCGAATTCCATCTCAATATAATGGAGTTGCATAATGAGAAATTAAGTTGAAAGTTATATTGAGTTCTTAGGTTTTCGCGATTGTTACGCATGTGTTGTGACGCTCAGTGGAAAATAGCTAGTGAGGATGCTACCAATGTGGTTATTTCCCTCTTCCATGTCAAACATGAGTGGTGCAGTTTCCGCCGTATGGCAGCCGAGAACTGCAAAATCCTCAAATATCAGCGCAGTTTTGTTGTACCTTTTTCAGTTGAAATCATGGTTGCTTGTTGACCACTGACACTCACTAAGCCTGGTTACCTGAAATTGCCACTTAAGTTTATTTAGGTATCCAAATAGGATATAGAACATTGCCGGAGTCCTGCGCATTAGATTTTTCTTCTCCTGTATATTATTATGTGTACGCTGTATTTGGCAGTAATGCGTATGAATTGGGAGCGTCTGTGGCTGTGTTCGTGTGGTAATGACGGTCTATACGAATGGTAAATATTTGATAAAAGGGCTGTGGTACACATTTAAATATGCCATTACCGTAATTTCGCCTTACTTCATGCATCCCTTTTTTACTAAAGTAGTCATGAAAAGCAAAATTTTCTCTGAATCTTTGTATTCGGCTAAAAGGAAGTTTTCGCCATTTTGTTACAGTGTTACTGTTAGCTTGCAAGTATGTACTATTTTATAGTATTATATAGGATTACTATAATGTTAGAAGTGCTCTGTTTGGCTTCGACAGCATCTTTAAAAGTTTCTCATAAGCACCCTTCATCGACGATAAGTTTTTGCATACGTCAACTTAACTTGTTCGTTTCTATCTATAATTGATGCTCCGACTAAGAACTAAAATTCTTATTAAAGACACTTTGCGTTATTTTTCCTTCATATATCGCCAGTGAGTAGTTTGCACTGGCACTCATTGCGCAGTAGGTACATCCTTTCTTTATAAGAATCTCTGTACATGTTATAAAAATTGTAGAATGGTTAAATTTACCACTGAAATCTTAAAAAACATCATATTTCATAAAAGTTTATTTTTTCTTTAAAGGCTCTTGTATAACATTTTATTTCAAAATTGCCTTTCAGAGTTTTGCTTTTAGTATTTCTTCTAAAAAATGTTTTTCAATTAATTCCACAGTCGAGTATCTTGTATTAAAATACTTAAAACATATTAAAATATGGGTATACGAAAGCAATAAGTATTATTTAGGCACCCATAATGTATGAATTAATCCATACATATTTGACAAAACTCTATTCCCAGGGATTAAAAAAATATATATTTTTGTTGGAACGTATAAACTTTTATTTAATACAAAAATTCCATTATTCATATCAATTGGTCCTTTATTATTGCTTCCATCTCTCTAAAGCTGGGCGGTAGATAAACACCAAATCCGTCCTCTGGTTAGCTTGTTATTTGACCACCTTATACGATATCGCCTTACTTTCTTATTCTGAAGTGACGTCAGTCGTTCTCGTCCAATCTGGCTTTCCACTTTTCCTTTGATTATTTGTTTTCGTAAAAGAATTAGCAAATTTTGCGTTATGGCGTTTTGTTCATCTGAAATGTATAAAATAACACTAAAAATATTATGTACCAGTTTGTGCTTTGTGATCATATTTTTATATGATAGTAAGTATAAAAAATTATTTATAATATTTTTTTAAGTTAAACTTATCAAACATTGATTTCATTGTCATTAATGACGGAGGTGTTTTTTTAAAAAAACATCGATTGTCACGAAATTAAAGTAATCGGTACAATGACCCTTATCGAATAGAAAGTAGGAAGATTATTGTATATAGCTTAATTACTGAACTAATTAAATTATTTGAAATAATTCATTTCAGAATAATAAATGGTTTACCAGATCAAGCATAGTGGAATCGTATATTTACCGTCATACTTCAGGAATGCTGCACCGAGTCTCACAATCTCTAACTTCCATACTTAAAGCAAGACTGGATGTTCCTCTGAGGGGTGAAACCACCTCAGCAAATCGCTATGTTATGGACGTACGTACACTTGTTTTAGTGATGCACCAGTGAACATTTAAGTACCGCTAAAAATGTTCTAATTTATATATTATAAAATCTGATATAAATATGAGTATTCTTTTTAATGAGTTGACTATGTTAAAGAATTGATTGATTTTATGAAAAATGTTATTCAGTACGTAAGTTATAATTAAAAAAATATAATCAGAAGGTAAGCAACCAACACGTAGAAAAAATCGTTGGTTCGTTCCGTAGCTCAGTTGGAAGAGCGTTAGTCATGGTATGCTGAAGGCCAGTTGACTGGATGCTGTCCTGGCCCCCCATGGCCCCTGGGTAGTGGACTCGGGGGAGTTCGTTGCCCAGCATAAAGGGGCCCGGGATGGAAGGCTCGTCTGGTGTTCGGCGAGCCTCACATTCGGAGTCGAGGGACCGATGTGTCTCCTTTCTCGAGGAGGAGCCGCTGGTGAGGCCGCGGACGAGTGCAACAGCGTACCCGTACCCCCACCTACAGCGGAGAGGAGGAACACTCCGGGGGCTTAGTGCGGTCGGGCTGCTCCCCTTCAGGGTTCAGCCTAGTCCCACATAACTCCGGTTCTGCCCCCGCGGGGCCGGGGTATCTGTAAGCAGATCCACCCGGATTAACAAAAAAAAAAATGGTATGCTGAAAGCGCTGGTTCGACTGCAGCCGGATCGAAGGAATTATTCTTAGTATTTGATCTTTGTATTAGTAATTATAACAATTTGTGGAGTCATTTCACCGGCTCGAAAGACCACTTAGCCTGTTAATTATAACGCTGGCTAAAAACTTCATTTTTTATATATTTAAAAATACAGCGGTGTGCACACTGCAATGTAACAGATTATGAGAAGAATGTGTTGCCATAAAACATAACACATATTTAACATAAAATTAAAAAAAAAAGCCCGAAGATTTGTCTGGATTTTTGTCGTCCAAGTACGCAGAAGCTGTTCCAAATCTCGTAATTTACAATTTTGCGTTATCGAAAAGAATTTTGTCATATAAGCGTAGATACACATTGCGTTTTAAATAAATTGGTGAAGATGACTATCAAGAACAGTCAGTTTATTTTTGTTTCTCATGTTAATGCTACTCGAAGAGCAGTGTTAAGTAGTTAAACACAAATAAATAATAAAAGTGTACTTCCCATGACTGACTAGACATTGGCAGAATTCGTCCAGAGGAGCCAGAAACTTAAAAATGAAACAGAACATATTAATAACATGCTCAGCAATATTTTTCATTATAAAAAAAGGTTTTTCATGTGCCGTTAAGTATTGTGATGTCAGCAGAAGAATATTGATTTGATTAAGTATTTAAAGAAGTAATGTCCTTGACATTAGCTGTCAGGAACACTGCTTTTGCAAGTTAACGATTTTATTAATGTCGGCTGCATTTCCCCAAATCAAAATGTCTTAAGTTGTCATACTGTGGAAATAGCTATATGGAAATGCTACGTCGTTTTCGTTTGTTTTATCTCATAGAGTTAACCCATTTCAACAATTTAGCAATTTACGCTATTTAGCGTAGAACTGTAACTAAAATACAATTACATTTAAATACTTCGTTTTGTTTCCAATTGTAATATTTCTGTCCCCATGTCTAACTTATCATATGATAACTTAAATTTTACAGCAAAACAATGTACTGCCTGTGTTACTATTCACGTCGCTATGGGCACATTAGCGCTTTTATAACTACATGCACCTATGTTATTAACATAAACACAGGGTTTTAATTTGCATAAATAAGGAGCACACTGTTTTAGAAATACTCTGAATTTTTTATTTACATTATGAAATTCTTCGAAGGAATGCGGTTTGGGGTACATGTCGCGGTTTTAAAGTTTATTTTCATCTTTAAATTCTTAGACACCTTAATTTACAAAATAAGAAAGCCTCGTTTATTCCCTTAACAATTATAAATAATACAAATATAAACTATATACTCGTACATACTTACTACATATATTATGCAATTAGCGAATATATATATATATAGTATATATATATATATATATACACACATATATACACATATA